TCATTTAAAACAATTAGTTCCCTTTATGAATTTAGATAAAGCAATAAGAAGACGTAATTTGTCTGAATCGTGTAATGTATTTGCGCAACACATTTCGAACAATCTGATCACACACGGACTTGTCATAGGAATATATATGAAATTAATAAAGAGGTAAGAGGTGAGAAAAATAGACTTAGGTCAAGTTTAAAGGACATATTCAAGGTCAAAGTAACAATGAAGACCACTAAACCAAATAACAGAGGTAATAGTACATCTGCTATGGTGTCAAAACAAAATTTACCAAGGAAGGTTTAATGTGATGACAAATTGTTTTTGAACGCATAAAGGTGGTGAGAACAGGAGACCTAGCTCCTCTATTGCAAAACATATTATAGAAACAGGACATAAAATTGACGTTAACAGATCTTTTAAACCTATCTATAAAACGTGTTTGGGGCGTATCCTAAAGTTTGTGGAAGCCCTAGCAATTAGAAAGTTTAAGCCACCTTTATGCGTTCAAAAACAATTTGTCATCACATTAAACCTTCCTTGGTAAATTTTGTTTTGACACCATAGCAGATGTACTATTACCTCTGTTATTTGGTTTAGTGGTCTTCATTGTTACTTTGACCTTGAATATGTCCTTTAAACTTGACCTAAGTCTATTTTTCTCACCTCTTACCTCTTTATTAATTTCATATATATTCCTATGACAAGTCCGTGTGTGATCAGATTGTTCGAAATGTGTTGCGCAAATACATTACACGAATAATCATTTGTCATTTTCCGGCCAACCAATTTTGATTGCTCAAGTGAAAGATAAGCTACCTAGCTATGCCACTTTGATGTGTATCTATAAATTTAGTTGCTTTTGTGTTGAAAGCTATATAAAGCGAACAACTAGGCAGCTTAACAAAAGCATTAATGAGCATCTTCCTTCATGGTTCGGAAAAGGTCAAATGAAATCCATACGAAGTTCTATTTTGGCTCATTTGATTGGTAGCGGTCACCAAGTGGAGAAAAATATTGCTTTCAAAGTTATCTATCGTATTCCATCGAGTCTTTCGAATGGAATCAGAACCCGTCTCTTACACCTAGCCAAAGCTATGGGGATTCGGGAGAACAATCCTAGTATTTGCATACCAAAGAAGTTTTTTCAACCTTTGTCTCTCCATTGGCCTAGGTGAATTCTTTTCAAAACCCTCCCACACTTTCTTATATTCCATCTCCTTCGTACTGTTATGACATTTATTTAATTTCGTTTAAAACATTCACGACATTATTATTTGTTCCACAAAATCACCGTCATTGGTTAAAAGTTTTTTTATATATAAGTCTATGTAAATTAGAGTAAAGCCTGAAGAAGATCCAATTGAAGACAATATTGTTCGCTTATATGTCTTGTTCTAATATTTTAAATGGGAATATTTAAAGATTTGAAAATGGAAACGACGCAAGAATTAATAGAATTCAAAGAAATGTTAGGAGTAGTTGAATAACAATCCTTCGTATTCAGACCTCCGGTTATTCTGCTCAATCTTTAAGACAGATTGATTCGACGAGTAAATGTTTGAAAAGACTGTCAAAAATGTATTCGAAATATATGTCACACTTTTTTAATAATTAATAAAACTCTCTCAGAGATAATTATGCATTCTTTCTTGATGTTAAGAAGATACCGACGAAATGAAATGGCTCCCCATAATCAATATGTTATTATTACTTTGTTAAAAATTTATTGATTTTAATTGCTTCTAAGTACTGAGCAGGTTTCACTTTTATTCCTGCAAAAAGTTAATACTACTTGTTACAAATAAGTAGCAAAATTCAATATTTCATTCGATTGAAATCTTTACACTTTTAGCATAATCGTCCAATTCAATTGAGTTTCATAGGGATATTTATTTTTTCATTTCGTCGAAGTTTCCACTGTAACATAGAGTTTCATACTCGAGAATACTGATTAAGTCTCATTCGGTCAATTATTGATCTCACTTCCTTTATCTAACACCCTTATTTAGCTTATCTAGTGTTTACATATATACTGGCACCTGTGATTGTGACTGGTGACTTCTATTTGAATTATGTTTTCTGAGAATCTGAATCTAAATTTGGTTACGCGGTTGAAGATAATGAGTCCTTCGGAGTCCGCCAACAGTAAACAAACTGCTTTCATTAAATTGTTTAGTGTGGAGTTACTTTGGTAGTCATTATTGTCGGTGGTGAAATCTATGGAAGTATACTGGTATCTAGTGTTTCAACTATACATTTTCTGCTATGAAAATGAACTGTCCTCCAATCTATGCTACGTCAATACATCACTATACACTGTTGCAGGGTCATAAGAATCTCTTTCAATTTTTACCGTCAACGCATTGAGATTCTACAGTTTATGCCTTCGAATTCGATCACTGAAATGGTCACAATTACCAGTTGTTCAGCTGAGGCGCTTTTGAAGTACTTTCACAATTAATACTACTATAACACACAGGTTTCAAGTGATTTTCCCCACAGGTGACAATGAAAGACGCAGATTGAACGTAGGCTGAATGGTGGTCATGCAATTATATATCACATGAATCTAACACGAATCTCTCTTTGTGGACACAAAACTTTCCGAAGACCAATTCAGTTTAATGATTGTTGTCACATATTTCAACTGTGCATTTCGTCACACACTGATTATTTATAGTAATTGAAACTGTGACGATGATTGCTTTTAATATGGTTGACTATCATATCATGAAAATGACACAAAGATGTTTCTGGAAAATTTCAATATCATTTGTAGGAGGGAAATCCTTGCCTTTTACTCATTGAACTTTGACACCAATCAGCCTACGTATAACCAGCCTATGTATAGCCAGAAAAAACATCCATGCGAGTCATAAATACGTTCACGTTCACCTGCGGAAGCAAGTACATAGGAAGGACTGAGAGGACAGCATCTACTAGATTTTCTGAGCACATTCCTAAGAGTCTCCGTACAAAAGGAAGAAAAGTGTTATCAAGTGCAATCGCCAGACATCTAATTGACACAGGACACACAGTAGAAATTAGCCAAGCCTTCAAAATAATCAGTACACAAAGAAACCCACGGCTACTTCGCTTTGCAGAAGCCATTGCTATCAAGAGATTTCGACCAGACCTTTGTATACAGAAAGATAGTGTGACTAATCTTTCATTACCTTGGTAACCCTAACTCTATTTTATTTTTGTTTCGCCTTTCTGTCAGTTTGCCTGTGTGTTTGTCTTGTTACGTAACATTCTATTCAATTTTGACCTTCAGGTTTCTAAATCTACTTAATTGTCTGTCTGTTTAAGTTATAAATGTTACTTCACTATTCACCCGCACCCTCTTAAACTCTCCACCACAAGATGTGTAAATTTACTTTGTTCTCTGACCCTGACCCTGTAATATGCCTCTAACCAATCTGTGTTGTTTTTTACAATAGAAATCTGAACTCTTACCCCTCTTATCTAATTCCACTATATATAATTAGAAGTGTAAAAGCTTATGACACCATTCCATCTTTATGGAAAATGCCGTGGTTACTTCGGTTCTCAGAAGACATTGACGTATAAGTCTTCCACAATCAACTTTCCAGATCTACTCAATTGTCATGTCTACCTTTTAATTTTACTTCACTATTCACTCCCATCCGCTATCCATTATAGTATGTGTAGATTCACTGTTGTTCTATCTTGCGTTCGCCTCTATCTAGTTCATCCTTGTTTCAAAGCGAAATACAGACTCCACCGTCTTATTCTAATCACTAGTTTTCTGACACTGTGTAATTCGTCTGCTAGTAACAGTTTTACATTTATGTTGCCTACACTTTTAATCTTTAACTCGAAATCGTTGTACACAGCATGTTCAGAAATTTCGTCCGAGTCCCTTCACAGGGAAACTTTCACAGAAGAAATACAACAATGAACATAGCTAGCCAAACAGTACACGAACGTCTACAGAGTTGCCCTACATATACCAGCATCAACACAATTTGATTGAAAATAGGATATTCCAGACATTCACTGACGTGATAGACAGGAGTAAAAATCGATGATCATTCCTTCAAGATTCCTCTAGTAACCACTGGCTAATGAGTTCTCTCTTGATTTCAGCATCCACACAATTTTCTACCCTCCGATGAAAGACAACGTCAGCAATATTATCACGATTCTCCAACATAATCAGCCTCCGAGATGAACACAGTGTTGACACTACAAATAAGGAGATACATAGTATAAATCCAAATATGAAGATGGATTAGACACACGCTGACGAGACCATCGATTGACACACTGCTCCACGTCCTTGAGTGGGAGACGAATACTGGGACGTTCGTAGGTCACGTGGAGGAGATCGTTTGACGAGGAGAGAGGATGGACAATCGTGAGGCCAGATAAAGAGGACGGCGGAGCATGAAACAGATTGGAGATGAGCTGTTGAAGCACTATTCAATCGAACGAATGGGACAATACTAATGATAACAGATGCAAATCACTCACGAAATTTCAACTGAAATGTGCTACCTAAATAGGCATAAATCAGATGTTTTAAAATGTTCTCACTGGTTCTATATTCTATGAGAAATATACTCGGTCAACGAGTTGTCAGTTGGACGCTATTCTAATGAAACAGACGCTGAAATGCAATCAAAATGTCAAACACAACATTACTTATTCATCAACGTCAAATTGAATTCACATAGACTTCTATCGAATGTACACTAGGTGAAACAGTTTTGCGAATCGTGCGTGAGCTATAGCAGATTTACAGACCGAAATTCCACTCAAGCAAATTATGAATGAAAAATCGACAAGCAGGTGTTCAAAACAATGCAATGAAGTACATATCGAAATCTAAATAGCATTTGGAAATAGAGAAGAAGGATGGATGGACTGCATACATGCAAAAAACCAACTGGTCATAGGTAACACAACAGTCAGTCAATCAGACAACGAATACGTCAAGCAGATTGGAGGGTGGAGAATGTTGTTGTCTGAGGTTATCTTCAGTTAATGAATAAAAATATTCTCCACCTTCTTCGTCTTCTTCTCATTTCTTGGTCACCATCATCTTTATCATCACTGTCACCAGGTTGGTTGTCGTCATCACCAGGTTGGTTGTCGTCATCACCAGGTTGTTTGACGTCATCATCAGGTTGTTTGACGTCATCACCAGGTTGTTTGACGTCATCACCAGGTTGGTTGTCATCATCACCATTGTCATCATCATACATGACAATGTCGTCATTGTCATCAATGACATCATTATCATCACCTTCGTCGTCGTCGTATTCGGGTTTCAAATTGCCTGTATTATTACTTTTAGCAATGGTCAAATGTAACCACTGTAAGGATACACTCCCTGTTAGAACAAAAAAGCAAGTCTGATATATAGTTAACCACCAAATAGCATATGACATCAAACAATCTGTCATCCGGAAAGTGAAATTAGAATCTACTGAATAACAGATTTGCATCAATAACTAGTGACACACTGTGCATATCAGACAGTTATCAGGTGACAAAATTACAATTACTCACACAGTAGAAAACTCATCTGTCCTTTGTACTAATCAAAACTTGACAATGAACCGCCTAACGAACATACTTATGCACATGGTCCGGGGTTCGATTTCCGGCCGATGCACTCCTTTACCTCACTAAGCCAGAGATAATGCTGATGAAGAGGAAAGGCTGGGCATAGGGCTAGCAACCCCATCTTGTATAATAAACACTGCTACAGAAACTTCAAGCCACTAGCTTGAAGCCCTATGTTCCACTGGGGAACGTGAATGAGAAAAAAAAGAACATCAAAACGAAAGAGGAACACGTCTTCCAACAAGTTACTCAATGAATGTTTGCCAAGTAAACCTGATGTGCAATGAAGACCCATCGAAACTCACCTTGCCATCGATAGTCGTATTTATTCTGATATACTTCAGAGAATGAGATCACAACTACTTGGGATGTGAGAAACTTTGAATATGGTCATAGTCTGTACAATATAATCTGATCAGTAGAATTACTATAAGGTTTGATGATGCATATTACACGTTTGATGACAGAGAAACAAACACAAAGCTATATCAACTCATGCACTCACTTGTAGCATTTCGATTGAAAGCGCCATTTGCAGCCAAGACGTGTTGACAGACAGTAATGATAAGCGATATGCAGAGGAAAAGTCTCATCGTCATTCTACAAACAAGGCAAACCATACAGACATGGAGATAATACCAATGACAGTATTTTCTGACTGAACATTAACTGCATTCAGGAATGTAGGAAACACTAGTCTAGTCAATTCAGAAACTTACTCAATGTAATTTCAGTGTGTGTTATGATGTGTATTATCGTTTGCTAATCAAGATTAGACAAGCTTTTATAGATATTCTTGCTCATCTGTAAGTCTTTGATTATTCAAAGTGATATATGTAAACTGGCACGTTTGCATAATTAAAAGAAACTATCAAACGTTATAATCTCTAAATGACATCACTAAAACTCACGAATTATTAATCCCTAAACGTCCCAAATTAACCTTGTTACATATAACACCGTATAGTGTACATAGAGCATGAGTTTAACATCATTCGAACTCCCTGTGCATGCGCAAACTACGGAGATCAGTTTTATCGGTCATGACACAATAATTCATTGAATAATATAATAATAATATTAAATATTATCTGGGGATAATTATATTTAATGGTTTCTCATGATAACATAAACGTGCATATCTACTTATATCATCAAAGTATTACACGTGAGCAACAACATCTTTGAAAGATAAACAACCATTAATTGGTGAACTGTGATACACATTGGGACTCACACTCAAGGTAGACTGAGTGAATTTCTCGATTGGTTGAGCTAGTGTTTCTTGCATTCCTGAATTCAGTCGGCGCTCAACTAAGATTTACTGTGTTCTGTAACACATTCACATCTGTGCGTTTTACCTTGATTGTAGAATGGAGGTGAGGCTGCATTTCTAAACATTGCTCATCGTGACTCTCTGTCAACACTCGTTGATCATGAATGCAGCTTACAATCACTTCGTCTGCTTCTTTGGTTCAGGGTATATAGCCGCTACCTTTGAATTAGGCATCACCTAGCAGACTGGTTCATACAGAATGAAACCAGATGCATGAAACGTGAAATTCTATCCCACATGGTTGACACGGAACTTCGCACTGTCAACTAACATAGCTTTTAGAGTCACTCACCACATTCGAATAAATCATGACGCACAGATCACCTACATCTTGTTCATGTATCTGAGATAGTCGCTATAGTACAGACTATGCCTGAACTTTGCATTTGGAAGTGCTACGTCCAGATAATGTTTCTTGCATGGTTAATCTTGGATTTGAAGTTTATCTCCATTCTAATGATTTCGCGTTTTCTTACATTTTTGTATTTTCGGTTTGCTTCATCCAAACACTTTCAGTCACAATACTCACCATTCAGTCATTCCTCGAATACTATCAAATTCACTACATGTACGTAAACCAGCAAGCTGTAACAATCTATTTCACTGATACCATTCCCTTGAAATTATGTGACTCAAGATGATTTGACGCTTACTCGTTAACGCCAAAATATCTCGCTGACATTAATTGATCTATAAGAGATGACTCGGTGAAATGGTTCGAAAAACGCCTCCTCCAAAGTGATTTACGAAGTGAACAGAGACATTCTAACGACAATATGTTTTCAACTGCTTTGAACTACTCATGCCGAGAACATTAAACAAAGAAACTGTGGCTATGAATACAGAAGAGAACTATTCAAACTACTCTGAAATCATGGTAATGAGCTCGATGTTTTCTAGTAGTTACGGTCTACTTGGTTTCCATTACTATTCAATTATCTGTGAACTCGTACATTATATACATTCCATCCTGCCTCCACATGCATCCTGATTAACACTAACTCACTCAATTATTCACCTCATTACCTAAATCTATCAACCTCATTCAACCTATTGTATTCAGTATTAATGCCAGCTGTGATTGTGACAACTGATAACTTTTATTACCTCACCCGCTTGTCGAAAACGTGTGTAAATGCAACTGGATATCTAGAGAAAATGAAATCCCTGAAAGCAGACTTGATCAGAGTCTACATTTTCGAGTGTCAGCAAAATTTACCCTCAATTTCCTATGAAATATCATACTACCACTAATATTATAAATTTCGTGACATAGTGTCGGATAGAATATTTATTCGGTAAACTCACACATCCTTCCATGTTTCATGTCGAACAAGAAAGACGTATCAGTAACATTCCACGAATGCACTCCTCCAATGAATGAATTAAAATTCAAAGAAGGAAGTATGCATGAATTCGATTGACTAACGCCAATCAAATCGCAAAGAATTTCTCGCGTTATGTGGTCAGTTACCAAGATCAAACATAGTATAATATGAAAAATGAAACATCATTGTGAAAATTAGTATTTTTCATCACTACAGTCAGACGGGATTTCTAAAATGCACAATTACGCCAGTGACAAAACACACAGCATGATAGCGACATGAAGACGAGAGGTATGTGTAATCTGAAAATGATTGAACAGACTAGTCAGTGATCAGGTTCACAAAGCTTGTAGAACAATTAATACACTTATCGAGACAACAAAGATAGGATAATATTGTTGTGATCATTCACTCACTTCATCTCAACTGGAGGCTAGTTCTGAGTTACGCTCGATCGACTGAGCTGAACTGAGATAGACATTTTACATATATTTTCTGGAGTTCATATAGATCGACAGGAGGACATGCGGTCTACGCATTTTAGAATGAAGTGCTGCACTGCTTCATTTTGAATTTCATGATTATTCTATGTGGCAAATATTAACTGTGTGAACTCGAATGACATGAATGGGAATCTTGTGGTGAGTGAGCACAGGTCACAATTCGCCTCTGATCATGCAGTCAGCGAAACATGCATAGCATGCTTGGCCTAGATAACATCAATGTCTCCATCATTTCACCCCATATTTCCCTAAGCCTGACTGAAATCTATTGAGTTGTAAATTTATTGTTTACTCAGTCAATCACACTATCTCTTGAATGGTTTGATTCGACGGTAGATTGTAGGCTGCAATGGAGTTAAACTTATTTGCATTTTAGCTGGAGAATAAGGAATGAACTGCGAGGAACATCAAGTGAAGAGCAGTTCCACTCTTTCAAGAGCTAAGGGAATCCAGTCTATCAATATAGCTTCAGAATTGCCTTATTGCCCTAACTGAAATGAACTGTTTGTCGGACTTAAATTTCGTAACAACTCTCGAGAGAATAGTATGCATACTGCAGATAACAGTTCGAAGGAATGGGGCCAGACTAGCAGACGCAAGGAATCAAGAAGTGCAAGAGCCATCTTTTCAGGATCTTTGTCAGTTAGTTTCTACAGAGGCAAGAGTAGCACGAAGCCGATACAGACACCTCGTTTCAGAGGGCTTTAACCACCCGAACGCCCAAGTTTCACTAAATAGACAGGGTCGTCATGAGGCCACATCATTCGCAATACAGGGAGAAAGGACCCTTACACCCGAGCGACTGTGTATACTCTGTAGGTATGACCATGCTACTGCTTTATGTAAGAAGTTAGTTGAGTTAGATGTGCAAGACAGGTGGAGCTGCGTCCACAGGCATAGAGCATGCTTTTCGTGCTTAGAGGTCGTACATCGTATCGATCACTGCGTATCGGGTATAAAGTGTTCCAAAGCTCATTGCAGTGGTAAACATCACGCACTGCTACATGTTGAACCGATCGTAAATGAAGTGGCAGAACAGGCGACATGTGCTGCTACTATGCGTTAAGCGATATGCTAGGTGTGATCCCCGTCAAGGTGCAAGCCCACGGTAAGGAAATAGATACTTATGCCTTTCTGGATGACGGCTCTGACGTTACTTTAGCTACAAAGGATCTATTCAGCAGCTTAGGCCTAGAGGGCACACCATCGTCTATGACCTTGACAACAATCAGTGGTGCGAGTCAGGTTCAGGGCAACATGTGTGAACTGGAAGTCGCATCATTGGATGAAGATGAAATGATAAAACTTGGCAGAGTGTTCGCGTTGCCATCCCTGCCAGTCAATGCACCCTCACTATCAATATCACAACAGGCACATCGCTGGCCACATCTTCAGGAATTGCCATTCCGCGAACTTGATGATAAAAGGGTCACAATGCTCGTAGGCTGCGATGTTCCCGAGGAGCATTGGGTCCTCGATCAGCGTTTGCGTAGTCGCAAACAACCTTACGCAATCAAGACATTGCTCGGTTGGGTCTTGCTAGGGCTACTTCATGAAAATACGAAAAGAGGCACTGTCAACTACGCTCGAATCAGCGTAGAGAGTATCAAAGACGACATCAGAAGGCTATGTGTAGCTGAGTTTAAGGATACTGAAGGAAATGGACACTC